AATGTACGCCCGGAGGCTCAGCAATGCTGGCTGGAAGTAAGCATCTTAAAACGCTTTGGTGAAGAAGCCACCTGAGCCTCCATTATGTCCTTGGTAAGCTTCCTTCATTTGCTCCTATTCTACTTCCTCGCAAATGATGACTTGAGTGCATTTGGCTCGAGCATTGCCTTCAGTCCATCGGATTAGTCATTCTGGCTCCCGTCATGGCTGTCGGCTTTCCATGATGTTAACTCTCAGCTACCTTATCAATTCTGTCTGAACTACACCCATATGTTTCCGCTAGCTTGCCATTTTTGCTGCCAATCAGGATGCTAACGGATTCTATGCAGATTGTGATTCCTGTAGAAACCAGCACATAAATTCGCCCGACTACTAACACAATATGCGGATAGGATCAGGGCTTGTGATAGGGAGGACCAATATGAGGATCTTTGCGAAGAGTTTTCGAGCAGGGTGAATATCTGTAGCTGTCTATTCTCAGAGCGAAACCATGCTGAGAATCACTTAGACGAATATACAAATTCTTCGAAATGGTCACCTGGTATCGCGAGCTAGTGACTACATTATCTACAGCGTAGAAGCTGCCGGTATTGGTCGTGTTGTTGCCGAGTATGGTCCTTGTATGCACTTCGACGTTCCTGCTAGCTGTTGTGTTGAGATCAGTGACTAAAGCGAAATGATTGTGTAAATAGCGACCAAGCAGAATGCTATCGTGGGTGGCCAAACGTCCTGCAAGGACCCCGAAATCAAGGCATTCGAGGATCATCTCCCTCCCGACGTGGACATAGTGTCATGTCATTCCCTCCATGGCCCTAGAGTCGACAGTAAGGATCAGCCTCTGGTACTAACCCTCCCACACAAATCACAATCCAACATAGCTGACGGATTAATATTAGGTCCTCATCAAACATCGTGCTTCTGATGCATCGTTTTATAAAGTCGAGACTGTCCTCCGGTGTCTACAGTCTAAACATGTGTACCTCACGGCACACGAGCACGACCGTATTACTGCAGATACTCAAGCCGTAACACATGCCGCTTTTCTCAGTATGGGCAAGGCTTGGCACTCATCACAACAGTTCCCCTGGGAGGGCGCGCGTTATGTTGGCGGGATCGAAAATGTTAAGATCAATCTGACGATGCGCATCTACAGCCAGAAATGGCACGTATACGCCGGGCTCGCGATCCTAAACCCCGAGGCCCGGAAGCAGATTAACCAGTACGCCGAGTCAGTGACGGAGCTCTACAAGCTGATGCTAGGTGGCCATCACGCCGAACTCCGGCAGCGTGTCCTCTTAGCCAAGGAGAAGGTCTTCGGGTCCGACAGTAACCCCAAGTGGGCCGACAAGGCGTTGCTACGTGATGCTGTGCTCGACCAGTTTAGCCTGGGCCAGCGCGCTGCCGACCTAGCGCCGCTGCCCAACAACCACCTTAGCCTGCTCGCCATGGTCGACTGCTGGAGCGCACTCGGCATTGTTCCGTATGACCACATGATCTGCAGCACACCCCTGTTCCGACTCTGGCTTGGTGTCACGGAGAACCTGTTCCGCAGCCCGGCGCGCCTCGACGAAGCGTTGCGCGTCGCCGTCGAAGACAACACATTTCGCAGCGATGACCTCGAATTTACGTTTGCGGCGCGTGGATGGGCCGAGTGCGTCGGGCTCGGCCACTTCGAGACCTGGAAGGAAAGGTTCGTTAACACACAGCGCTTCTTCGAGCCCCGGTTCGCCGAGGCCATCGAGGTTGGAAACGCCATGGTGAAGGCGGTGTTGGAGAGCACCAAGTCATGATTCGACCTGATCGTTGGCATGGCTGAGTTCGGAAGGGTAAATATATAGCTCATTCATCTCAGGCATATGTAGATTACAGGCTGTCGGTAAAGGGAACTCTTCATTTTCGTACCGCTAAGCTTTCTTATTGTAAGGATACATACATGTATATAAGATCTGATTCATGGGAAACAAGGCGTATGGTGCTTGGCTTGTGTTAGATTCTTGGGAATAGTACTTTGCGACTGACCAACTGGGCAAGATCCACACTTCCAATACACATATGAATATGGCATTTTGTTCCCTCAAACTATAGATGCTTTATTTTGCCACGATTTGCAGATTACCTAGGTAGCTTCTTATTGAAGTATTTTACCTCATTTCTCTGTCCTATGTACACTAGCTTCAAGTTATCAAAACCGTTCTTTAGAATCCGACATGCAAGATATCAAGAGATAGAATCAGCATTTGTTCGCACACTCATTTCTCACCATCATTATCATCATCGCAATTATAAAATCACCGTGGTCCCAAAAGTTCATCGGCAATGGCTCGTCCTGCAACACGCCCTGAGAAGATACACCCGCCGAGGAAAGTCCCTTCAAGCGAATTATAGCCATGTACGCCACCACCACCGAAACCAGCCACCTCTCCCGCGGCATACAGCCCTTCAAACAGAGTGCCGTCAGGTTTCATCACGTTGCTCTGCAGGTTTGTCTCCAGCCCACCAAGCGTTTTACGCGTCAGCAGGTTCATGCGGACGGCGATAAGGGGGCCGTACTTGGGATCCAGAAGACGATGTGGCGGTGCAATGCGGCTGCGACTATCGGGCCAGTAGTTCCGGCCGTTGCGAATCAGCATGATCTGGGCATCCTTGCAATAGCCGTTCTCGACCTGACCGTCACGGACCTCGACGATCTCGCGGACGCGTTCATAGTCGAGCTCGGGCCCGCCGACGGACCGCGCCAGCTCGCTCATACCGGCCACCAGCTCGGGAAGGGTGTCGCACATTATAAAATCCTTGCCATGCTTCACGAAGTTCTGCACAGGAACCGTCCCCTTGGAGCTGAAGATGCGGTTCTTAAGGAGCTGCCAGATGTTCTTGTTAGTGAGGTCTGGGTTCTGCTCAGACCCGGAGAGCGCGAACTCCCGCGCGATTATCGCCTGGGTGAGGATAAACCACGTGTAGTCGTGGCCTGTGCTGCAGATGTACTTGAGCGTGGCGAGCGTATCGCTTCCCGGGTAGAGGAAAGGAGGCAGCCTCTTCCCTGTTGCGTCGAGCCAGAGAGAAGACGGGGCGGGTAGAACACGGATACCGTGGCTGGGCCAGATTGGGTCCCAGTTCTGAAGACCCTCCGTATAGTGCCACACTGCCATATTTAGAGTCAGTACTTTAATTTGCTTTCTGAACACAACCCGTGAATGCACCTGGCGCGTAACAAGTGACCAAGATGGGGCTATACGCCTGACAGGAGCCTTTGTATCCCTCGAACGGCCAGTGTATGAAGAGAATGGCTCCGAAAGTTACTCACTCCGATCTCGGTTGATGATGTGCGCGCCGACTGACTGGGCAATATCTAACATGCGGCCGTCGACATGTGCGGGCACGCCGATGACGAAATTCTCGGGCACTTTAGGACCCAAGCGGTCCACGGGCCAAGCCTTCTTGACGGCTTCAACGTTCCCCCCGATGCCACCAGTCGTTATCACGACAGCCGAGCCGTGCAATTCAAACTTATCGATGACGTTTCTCGAAGACTTGACGCCTCTCTCGACGGGATCTTGCTCGAGTACCCTTCCACGCACCCCCGTCGCCCTCCCGTCCTCATCGACGAGCAACTCATCCACCACATGTCTGAACTTAAATTGCACCAACCCCTTTTTCTCTGCCTCACGCGCAGGCTCCGCGAATACGCGCACGACCTCCGGTCCGGCTCCCCAGGTGATGTGAAATCGAGGCACAGAGTTCCCGTGGCCATCGGCCCGTCCATCCCCGCGCTCGGCCCAGCCGACGTTCACGAGAAAGCCAATGCCGCGAGCTTTGACATAGCTCTCCATCTCGTCGGTAGCGAAGTTCACGAAAGCCTCGGCCCACTTGCGGGGCCAGTGGTCCTCGTGCTCGCGGTCGAAGCGAGCCGAGCCAAACCAGTCGCGCATGGCCAGCTCGCGGCTGTCCTTTATGCCCATGCGACGCTGCTCGGTAGTGTTCACACAGAAGATGCCGCCGAGCGACCAGAAAGCCTGTCCACCTAGGTTTTGCTCCCCTTCCTGGTCGATGAGCATCACGGGTACGTTCCGCTGCGTCAGCTCGAAGGCTGCAACAAGCCCGGCAAGCCCGGCGCCCACGATTATGACGGGCTGCAGCAGCGCCTTGGTCGAAGACTCGGCTGTTGCCGCCATTTTTTTTTTGGCACGAGGAAGGTAAGGTACTAACAGTACTTGTAGTACTGGTATGTTTTTAGGAATAGAGTTAGTATTAGTTAAGTACCTACTAAGTACGTAGGTATGTAAGTAGGTATCAACGCAAGCGTCGGTTTTCTCAATCCAAATAAATATACGTGGCCACGGCACGGCATGCGGCCAACGCAGATCACGATAGTGGTTCGAGCAGGATTGGATCATGGATCATGTTACCAGCGACGCGTGAGCCGAGGTTGCCCCACACTTGCTCGTAACTCTCAAGGTTCCTTACCTGCATGCATGTCGTCGATTGGAATGGCGGACCTTGACCTGGCAGTCCGGTTCGTCTTACTCAGTATACTACTACCACATGCATCTATTCCAGGGTACCGTGCCCATGCCTGGGAACAAAGACAATGCCGTTGTTGCAATCGAAGTCCGCGGTTCAATCTATATTGTAAAGTGTGTGAAATCTGATCACATTGAAATAGACTTGGACTGAACTAAATTCTACTTTATCTTGCTAATCAGGATTGTACCCATGTCGGTAAAAACACCATTGATAAACAGAAGTGCTGGATGGATATGCGTGCTATATGTAGACGCATTGCGAATCCGCTAATTATCGAGTCATGGTGCGTCAAGGGGCGCTGATAGTGAAAGAAGGCACTTTGGCGGAGTGGTTAACGCGCAGGACTGCTAATCCTGTTCCTTCGGGAGCCCGAGTTCGAATCTCGGAGGTGTCGTATTGATTTTTAGTTTATTTTTTTTTCTTTTTAGGAAAAAAAAAAAAAAGGAATTACTAAGATAAAAAAACATGCAAAACTAAAACGACACCTCCGAGATTCGAACTCGGGCTCCCGAAGGAACAGGATTAGCAGTCCTGCGCGTTAACCACTCCGCCAAAGTGCCTTCTTTAGATTGATTGAGGCTGCTGGCTTACATACGATGCTATGTACTAACCCCCCCATCAGTGGATCACCTACAACGTAATAACATCCCGGACTTACCATCCTCAATCAACCCACGCACCATATCTACCGGCAAGATCTACCTACATGTTGATTCCGTTACACCCATTGAGCTGCAATGGACCTTTGTAGCTTAGTCATATTATATCATATGTACAAGGATATATTGCATAGGTTGTGGATATCTGTTGAGACTGTCTCGGCAAGGCTACTCGGACTTTAACTTTATGGGGCATAGACCACAGGCCGAAAAGCAAAGGCCGGAGGAAAAGCTGTACATATTGACCTCGACCCCAGGAGGCTCTAAGTGAGAGTCTAATTACTGACTGGCCAAGGGACCTTGCGGCCGTAGAATAGTTTTGCTGTATTGAGACTATTCCAAGCTCTCTCTATTCGCCCCTTGTGATAATATTACATCCCTCTTTCTGTATACAACGCACCCTAGTAGTCTAAGCCCATATTTATGGGAGATCCGGAAAACACAGGAGAACAGGTTCAACTTAACCTTGCCATGTCACAGCCAGAGATTCCTTAACGATGTCATTCCGTGAACAAATCCGGGCTGAAATACTGAGAAAAATCCAGCGTTCGCTATTGTTTCTCTTTCTGTCGTTGCTCCGTCTTACGTCTTCCTGCAAGAGCCGGACAAGTGTCCTTGTCCTGATTCATAGAATGGCAGTATCTGCAATGGGTATTATATGCGATGATGCCACATCCAGCACAGCCCAGTCCACATAATGATATTGAATGGCGCAAGCTCCATGAGGGTATTCGAAACGTTTGTGTTACTGATTCCTCTTTCGCTTCTGAGTGCCCTTTAATAGCAGAGCAGGTGTTGCCCATTACTAAAGACAATTTCATGGAAGCGGGCAATCATAGCAATAACGACAATGACGTGAATATAAAGACAGAAGAAATCATTGAGGAGTGTTGGCGCGATGCAGAAGATATCACTACTTTTGAGTCTGAGCACGAAGCAGCAATTAACTTTATTAAGCAGCTTTCTGGTTTAACCGTGGGTGAAATGGAATTGGGCCATGGTTCTGACAGTGAAACTAAGATGGATCATGTTGACCGCATTCCTGGCTTGCATATAGAGGCAAAAGGATTGGACATTCACCCTGAGCAGCAAGCTGGGAACTTGGGACTGATCCCGATAACACTAGGGAGAATTCAATTGTTACGTCTTATAAAGTTCATCGTAATAAATGTGCTTCCCTTAACTGGATTTAAATGTCTTGTTGAGAAGTGTAGATGCGATGCGATTCATTGAGATCATCTCCCAGTTGCACCAAGTTGTCGAAATCCATAAGGAAAGTTACACAGAATGCTAAGACTAGGATCTTGCTAGTGACATAAGATATGTCGTTAACGTCACTGTAATGCAGGTACGGGACAAGAAAAGACGGTCTCAATGGTCATGAATCCCGTCATCTCCCAGGTCCACAATAGCATCATTAACGGCATATCGACGATCATCGAGGTACCGATCGTAAATCTGACCTAGCAATTCCGTCACATATAAGAAGTGCGAAATAAGCCAGAGATAAGGTGGTGCATTCAATTATATTCCTCAACTATATTGCTTTTAAACTTATCTGTCGAACTGCTCGTTACTACTTATGTCTCGATCAATACTTACAAGAGCCTTCAGGCTCCCCGTTCACAAAACAACAGCGCAAGCAACACTTGGTTTTCAACTTTCACAAAGAACGATGGCTAGCCAAACTCTTAACTCGGGTGTCATATCTGACATCACTGCCAAAGAGAAGGAGATTACCGGCAGAAATGGTCCTGTCAAAGGAGGTCCACGGCCCAGGCACAGAAACATGCAAACCAGAGAATAACCCCCCAAGCTGTTTCCGACATCACCGAGGGCGAGAAGCGCGTGACCGGAGAAGACTCCCCGATCGCGGGTGGTCCGGCCGCCGTGGCCCAGAGCATTGAAACCTCCGCTGTAAGTTGTTTTACGTGCATAACTCTGCAATATTTCCTCACAGTCCACGAATCTCATTATTTCTTTTCTAGTCCCAACTGGGCCAGAACAACTCTATGTCAGGGGTGTCTGTCTTGGAGTGAATGGAATAGCCTACGCAGTCACATAGCAGGTAGGTAGAAAGGGGCCAGTAGCCATAGGGTGTATTGGTCAACATAGCCCCTAGCCCTTCCAACTGCTAGTTGGGAGGGATAGCCTGTATATATAGACCCAACCTGATAGGTACACACTAGGATGTCACCTATTCACCTGACACTCTACACCTAGCGGCACACTCGACTCTGCTACTATCTCGCACGTCACATCTGCTGAGAAAGGAATCGCAGGCCAAAATGAACCCGCAAAGGGCGGTCCAACAGTGATGGCTCAGAAGCACGCCGGCGAGCCGATCAACGGTCAGACTAGCATGATATTACCGAAGGCGAGAAGAAGATCACCGGTGATGAGCGCATCAAGGATGAACCGACGGTGACGACCCAACCCAAACTTAGGAAGAATCACAGCTCTTAGGACGCCTATTCCCGCGGAGGGTATAATTGGTAGTTGACCGATTGCGCTTAGGCACTTATCGCAACCATCCCCATGTTGTGAGCTGGTAAAATTACTGTTCAGGAACCGCACATAAGCACGGTAGCCTTATTGCACCACTTACACATCTTAGAACGTTATCGCCTTTTCATAAACAAAGATATGCCCTCTACTGGCGAGGGAAAAAGGCAGTCGAGGCAATTCAGGGTGTATAAACTTGGGCTGCCTCTTTGAATAATATTCTCGAAGCTCCCAACTGGTTCTAGAATTAAGAAGAAAGTTACCGGAGAGGTTGCACGCAAGACCTAGGCCAGCTATATAGCCAGAAATCGTCGGAATAGAGGGCACGAGCCTTTGTAGACCATGTAGATTATTGAACATAATAGAGTGTTCTCTAAGTCCTCAATAAAGCCCTTGTTGTAAGGTTCACAGGCCCTAGGTAACAGAGATAATGGAGGTAGATGTGCCTTACAACATCATAATACCCAAAACTTACGCAAGATACAGCTAGATTACATCATACCTCCTTTGATAAAGAAGACAAGGAATAGTTACCATACTAAGAAAAGATAAACACAGACCCTACTGCTAATCTAGTGACCTCCGGTTTATCTATGGGAGAACGAACGGTATCTCGAGTTCTCCGTAGGCTATGGTCGCACATGGAAGAAACGGCGCACTACGCACTATTATATCAGAAGTGTATACATCAGCTTATGAGAGCCCCACAGTCAGACCTCCTGGGAGCCGATTATGAGGCTCTAGATGCACGGGTTTGGTTGAGAAATGTTGGCAAATGACGCTATACTGTAGGGGTTCGGATATACTCGATAGAACCTCATGTAGCATTATTGGAAAAACAGATCCCGATTTCTCTAGTAACCCCTCTTTCTACTGACCCGATTGAGGAATTCACTTCTGCCCTCGCTCAATCTCTCGAGGTTGACATCCAAGATAGCTAACAGGCGGTTGAAATAGCTACTTGTGTGCCCACTCACATGCGGCGTGATAATTACGTTTTTCTTCCCCCATAGCGCGTGGTCTCTAGGTAACGGTTCAGGATCAGTAACATCAAGGGCGGCGCCGCCGATCCAGCCCTCGTCGAGCGCTATGATTAAGTCGTCGGTCACAATGGTAGGGCCGCGTCCGATATTCGAGACATACGTCTTCTTGCCGGCTAGCAGCTTGAACTGCGTGGCGCCGAGCATGCCGCGCGTCTCGGGGGTGAGTGGCACGGCGACGACGAGCAGGTCGAGCCCGCTACTGAGAAACTCTCCGAGCTCGGCGGGTGTGGTCCCTGAGAACCATCTCGTTGGCAGTGTGCCTTCGGGATCTCCCAGCCCTGGCGGGTGCCACGAGTGATCGCGCCGTGATTCCGGGGTTGGCCTCGGCCGGTTTGTGTATGCGTAGACCTCCATGCCCATTGCGGTTGCTACGCGCGCTATCTGCCGGCCTATACTACCGTATCCAAGGATACCACTATAAACGTTGGGATCGAGTTAGATGGCTAGCCAAACTTCAAATCAATGATTGTCCCTGCTGGGGATGGACGCTGGGCCCTTGGACGGACGAACAGATAGTCTATTGGCGCCACTTACACTCTTCGGGCAACTGCATCCATTATCTTCATGTTATCGCCGTAATTACGCTCCCAGTTCCCATCTCGCATATTGTCGAGGTAGTGTGGGACTGGATTGCAAGTTGGTTGAAGACACCACGAGTTAGACAGTGTTCAGACAGTCCCTAAGACACAAGACTCACTGCAGTGTTGGTAGGCAAGGTAGGTGCATATCACCCATTCGGAGATGGGCGGCCTATTGAGTGTGGTCAGTCTCGACCCCTGGAAGAAAGCTTATGGGAGATGCTCCCATCTCTTTTGTGCCCTTGACGCATTAATATCTTGCTTCGGACACGCTTTCCCATCCGGACCCATTACGCTATTGAAGGGACGAGAGCACTTGGAAAATCTCGAAATGAAGCAAAACAAAACAAAACAAAACAAAACAAAACGAATGGCACGAATAGAGCGGTTGGGTATCGCTTCTTACCCTGCGACACCGTTCGCCGTGCAGAAGGGGATCTTGGTATCCTTGAACAAGGGTTTATCAAGGACGTAGTTAGCACCAGCGCTCTGCAGCTGCACAAGCTGCATCCTGGGTGCCTCGTCTATCGTGGGAAGCCGGGGTCCCGTCAGGAGAATCGTCACTTTCGCCCAGTCCTCGGCTGTCACGCCCGGGATAGTGGCCGTGCTTGCTTCTCTCCATGGATCGAAGCGCGAGTACACAACCTGCAGCCCCGGAAACTTGGCACGCAGATGCTCTTGGTACCCGTCCGGCAAGTCGAGTACTGACAGAATCAGAAGCCTGTGGCCCTCGAGGTCTTTGTTCTGGGCTATGGCGGCGGAACCGTTGTTTGGC